AACAGATTTAGTAGTTAAGAAGAATTGTGACAGGTATGAAAACAAGTGTTACTACTCTAAACTATCTCTCCGAGGGCTACATGATACCTGTCTATAAAATTCAAATCCCTTTAACAAACACATAAAAAACATTGTTTTTTAAAATAGACTTTTATAAAGAAACATTCATTGACCACTCAACAGACAGATAAAACGATTGGATCCATTTGCTGCAATCGGGGCCAGTGGTGTAGCCAACCTGGAGAAACTATTACAGTGGTTCAAAGACTCCAGGCTTGACCCCAATGACCCTAACAATAAAGACATAGTGTACATGCTTAGTGTAAGTACTTGAGACTAGGCCAATTTAACAGCCGCAGTTAATGTTGCCTCTGTCATTGATTGGAAGTTAATGTCTTTTATGGTGTTTGTAAATGATCAATTTCAACATGACTTAATGACAGAAATAATTTCTTTGAGTTGTAGTACATACCCATAAAAGTCTTCTGATTTCTGTTACATCAGAAGTGAGCAAACATTGGAACCACTTGCTAGAACTAATCTAATCAGTCTTCCATTGACTTTCATCAAATTCAAAATAAATAAACAACAGAGCAGAAATATTTGTGTGAATTCCTGTCCCCCATCCCCACTGCCACTCCACCCAATTATCTGGCCAGTCCCTGTAATGCTCTGTAGTCCTACTTGTCACCATGAGTCACAGAGTTTTAGCAATGTTCCATAAAACAAGGACATATTTTCTGATTGGTAACTTCTTCTTGTTGTGCTCTAGGGCAATGACCAGACACTGCTCCAACCCCGTGAGTATTTCAGACTTGAGCCACTGCAGCAGGAGTTCAACCTGGCCACCCAGGAAGATCTGGAGAACAATCTTCGCTTTAAGATGATTCAGCTTCGAGATGAGGAGAACCCCATGTTTAAAAATTACCAGATGATCCCCATTCATGAAAAAGAATTACCTCGAGATATCCTGAAGGTACAAATTATCTTTCTAAACTTTTTTTTACAGTGGTATTAAAATACAAAAATGATATTTTTATAAATCCGCACCAAAATTCAGTGAACGAGGCTTTTAATAAGGTGGCTTTCTCATTCATCACTATGGCCAAATTGTTTACGTCATCTTTAATAGTTATTAAGGTTTAACAAAAATATATTGTTTAAAAATGTGTTAATTAGATTTAAGATCCTAAAAGAAAATTAATATTAAAAATATAGTCACATCAATGTGTAAAACCTTTTAACTCATCATATGAATTTTTCGAGCCACATTGGGCTTTGTGATTAAATAGATGTGTAGGGGGAAGAAAGGGGAAGAAACTTTAATTTATTATATGATTCTAAGAGAAGTATTGTGCTAGAAAAAGAGATAATGTTTTTTTTAAAGGTTGAAATATTTTAAAACTATTTGTTATTTATGATGAACGGGGATGTTTTTTTTTTTTTAATGAACATCTTATTGTTAAAGGAATATGAGAAGAAGCGAAGAGATGAAGCTCAGCTGCCACAAGCTAAAGGTGATCTTGAGCAACACAGGGTGCAGGTTAATATGTACCTTCAGAAGGTAACTTGGCCTTTGTAATTTTTTAAAGCACTGTAAAGGGCATATTTTAATTAGTATGAAAAAGAAAATGTATCATAAATTCATTTATGTTACATGTCAAGAATATTATTTGAGTGTCTCTTCTGTTACATAGTTGAAGTAGTTTTTTTAATGATTTTTGTATGATTATATTTTGATTTATACAAATTTCATTTATTATAATTTGGGGGAGGGGTGTTTATTTTGTTTCAAAAAGTTGTCAAAAGTTAATTTGAGTAGTACAATGTCATCCATATTGAGTAAATTGTAATGGTAAGCAAAGCACAAGGTTAAATTTCCATTTCGGTCAGATCAAGAACCGTGTCATGGCACAATACAGGTTTGCCTCCCACCAGAGGTCATTACAAGACATGGTCTATGAAGACAACCCACCAAACTATGCGTAAGTTCAACAAGTTTAATTTTTTTTTATGGGAGGGTCTTAACCTGAAGACATGAAATAACCCCCCAAAGATATCATTATGGCACTATTTTGATGCCTACCAAGAGGATATCTTTGGGAAATCATTCATTCACCACCAAGGGATATTGTTATGGACACTCGATAAAAGTACGACATTGTGTCATTGTTGTTTCCCACCTAATATAGCACAATCCATTCCCTCACATGATATACCAATACTGCATTGTAAATTTATCACACATGCCAATGTAATCTTCAAATACTAAATGGACTGAGCCAGAATGTCCAATCAAACCTCGGTCTGAAAGCTTATCTTTACTCATAAAAACGTCATACAATATAGGAAACAAACTTTTTCTATCCACCCACATCATATCAGACTCCGTTTTCTCATTTATCACAGAATGATCTTCAAATCATTGATGAGACTGTCTGAACCACGCCGTCCACTCAAACCTGTCCGCAAGGAGAGGAAGAAGGTCACAGCCCAGGCGCTGCATGGTCAAGAAGTTAAGATTCTTATCAATATCATTCGAGCCACATTTATTCCTGTTCGCAAATCATCTCCGAGGTACCTATAGGTTATTGTGGAAATATTTAAATAAGCAATTTATTTACATATTTTAAAAATATTTTTATTTTTACATGCTTAAAAAGTAAACATTTTAGCTGAGCAAAAGATTCATAGTGACCAGCCTCATTTACACAATTTAATATAATTTAAGTATACTTATTCCCTTAATGTACGTTTTGGTTTCCTCACTTCCATATTTCAGATATGATGGCTTGAATAGTGATGTCTTGTAATTAGTTTTTCTTATTCATCTTATTCATTTCTTTTGGCAAAAGCTCTGCTCTAATTAACTCAGCATTTTATTTCATTGCCTATTTCATTTTAAAGTCTTCAGTTGTTTCTTTGACATAATTTGAATTGTCCTTACTTTGTTTGTTTACATTATTGTTGAAGCGACCACATACAACATATGACAAGGACCACCACAACATAGGAGATACTGAACACAACATAAGACATGCTGACCACAACATGACATGTTACAATTAAAATATTAATGTTCATAGTCAGTTTCATAAACTTTATTTCTCAAATAGATACAGATAAAATGGTACAATTTTAAATACAATTCTAAGACATGTAAACATATTTAACAATGGTCAAAACAAAAATACCTAAGACAAACATTTCTAAGACAAAGTCCTGAATTAAACGTTTTGAAAAACAATTACCCTTTACATTATTTAGAAAATGGAATAAAATGAAAACTATGTTACTAGCTGTTCAAATGTTAAATTTCAATTTTTTTTAAATATGTATTTTTAATTACCAATTTGGATCACTTTTCATTAAATTTTTTGCAATGTCTAATGTGTAAAAAAAATTTAGATCCTTAATTTCCACAGTGTTGTCCCTGGTGGTACAACTGCCAGAGATACTCAAGGAAAGCTACATACAGATACTTATAATGTAAGTTCTAACAAATAATATAAAATGTAAGTTGTTATTCCTAGTGAATCTAGTGAACTATAGACCAGTTAAAATGTTCTAGTTGGTCTAGCTAACGTATATGTCAATTAGTAGGTCTAGCTATAGAAAAACTCAATTGGTCTAGCTAACATGTGTCAAGTATTTTGTCTAGCTAAAGAAAAAAGTCGAGTAGTTGGTCTAGCTAACAATTGAAATGTCTAGTTATTTATACGTTAAATTCATGTGATCTGTTGGGTCTAGTTTGAAATATGTCATTTATGTAGCTAACACTAATCTATGAGAAGGTATGCTGTGTTAAAGACCTGGCTTACAGGAGTGAAAAGTTAAATTTATCTGAACCGTTTTTTAACCTAATTAATGTACAGGAACAGGTTTGTCCATTTGTGGAAGTAATGTTCCAGAGATCAAGAGTCAGAACTCGGAGAGGGGAAGGACCGAATCCTAGTTTCAATGAAAAACTGGAACTAATACTCAAGTGAGCAAATTGTTTATGTGTGAGCAAACAGTGTCTATTATTCTGTGTCTAATTGTGTGAGCAATATTTGTGACTGAGTGAGAAAACTGTGTTGTGTCTAAATAACATACAAGTATTAGAACATTTATGATTTAAATACATAGAAAAAAAGATTTGTGTTTAAAAACTAATCAAAGATCTTATAATCCTTAAATTTCCTGTTAAAATCATCAATTAAAATATTCAAAATTTAAAAATTCTTGAATAACCTAGCTGTTAAATAGTCTATGAAAATAGTCTATGAAAATAGTCTATGAATCAAATCTGTTAATAAATCCTTGAATACGCGTACAACTAAAATTGTCAAATTCTAACATTCTTATACTTTTGCTGAAACATTTTTCTATACAATCTTCATAGAGTCCCAAATGATGACTACTCGCCCTCAGCCCTACAAAGTATAGAAGATATAATCTACCTTAATGTGTTTGATGAGGTTACGGTTGATGTTTTGGAGGTTTGTAACCATTATTTTTTTAAACCAGGGCCAGACAGACACCAGCCCCATCTTTTCCTTTAAAAAAACTTATCATGCTTGAGCAAGTTATTCTCTCAAATCCCTTTTAAATTTAATTTTGCCCAAAAACTAGTGGCTTACAAGTTTAATTGAAGTAGTGCAAATATCATGTTCAAATTTAATATACTCAAGAAAAATTTGTCAAAATCTGACATTCTCCATGCATAAAGCTATGCAAGTTAAAAATAAGTTTTAAAAAAATATGAACATTGAAATATATCTTTACAAAAAATCTTTTTAAGATAAGAAACTCTGCTCACCCCCAGAAAAGGAGAGAAGCTCTCAACTTCTTCCTAGAAAGGGGAATAACTCTTGTGATCACTCCTGTTCTCCGTCGACATCCTCATGGACCCCCAAGGCTTCCCTAGGCTCACACTCTGCAGCCATTCCACTCCTTCCCATCTCATCATTGAAAGAATCCAGGTGGAGATGGTTCTCCTTGTAAGTGTGACCAATGTGGCCATACACCCGGATGGGTGCCCCGCACATCCCACGGCATGTAGGCAGGCCATATAGGTAGTAGGTCAGCTCACCTTTGTCTGGCAGGTCACGCACTTTCCTTTGCACGAGGTCTGTGCAGCAGGCAATATGCTTGGCACGCCCATGGGGGTGGCAGACAAAAATAATCAGTGGGGTCTGCGTGAAGCGATGACGCCACATCCACAGGAAGTGACCTCTTATCAGATTAGTCACATAGCTGGACAGAAGCATGATGGCTTTTTCATCATGAGTACAGCATCTCATCAGGACCCAATCGCAGCCATCTTTGTCGTATGACAGATCCATCCCATACAAGAGGCTGATGTTTTCTGGTTCATTTTCTTTGTTGTAAAACAACTTGACCACAGCTTTCTCAGCCTCGGACTTGTCAAAGATGAACATCTTGGCAGTGCACAAATTGAAAACTGCATACCTCTTCTTGGGTGCCCCACTTGCCTTGCATTCAGGACAAATGCAGTCCTCTTTGGAGAAAATCTCATACTCTCCACAGAACCATCCAGTGGCAGCACGCAGAAACTCCTGACCTCTCTGGGCATGCAGCGGGAGCTCTACCGTTCTGCCTTCGCTGACCTTGTTTGTCACAACTTGGGCAACCAACTCAGCCGAGCGGGTCACAAAGTCAAAGAACGCCCGGTCACGGTATGCAGGAGGGAGGTCCATGATGCTGAACTCATAGATTGGTTTATACAACATGTGCCCCTTTCGGTTGGGGCAGGCATTCATTTGTTGCTGAAACTGTGCATCAGTGCCTGTACTGATCTCCATGTCCAAGTTTTCTGTTTTAAAATAGTTTTAAAAATTGTTTAATTTTTCTAGCCTCCAGACAGAGTCATTGGAAAAAAAAATTATACAACAATTTCGAGGTTATCATGGTAATATTAATAAGTCACATATTCTGGGGATTGGTGTTTACAGAAAGCTTCTACAATTCCAGCTTTTTCTGCTGCTGAGTTTTACGCAGATATGAAGAGTACCTAGGAGCAAGGCAGATCATGGATTCCAGACTCTCACCAAGGATGTGTTCAAATTAATACCGATTAATTAAATTTCTCTCATCTTTAATAGTTTAGATTTTTATTAGGACCTACTTCCTATCTAGACCAAACATTTATAACTTCTACCTTGGAGTGAGTAGAATAAATGTCCCGCATCATTAGTCCCATCGTATGTATACATATGCAGTGAGAAAAATCAATAGTTACAAGTGGTTAGCTACACTCACCAATCTCTTCCCAGAGTGGTTTATTCAGTACCATTACAGCAAGGCCATCTGCTATCCCAGCAGTGCTCTTACCATATCTTATCAACTCACCACGTAAGAGTAGCCCTCCGCCTACAGCAGCTCCAGGGATTCCTGTTCCCGTCACAACAGTTTTTACAAAATCTTCTTCTTTTGGTACCACACCTTGAGGCAAAGACGGTGGGTCTGCATATTGGCCTGCTTTTGGGCGTGGACTTCTTTCAGTATGTGGGAACTGCTCAGCTCCTCTGACCTCAGCATTTCTATCATGACCCCCATGCAAGGCTCTAGGCCTTTGACGAAAATCTGCATAGAAACCAAAATAAAATTTATATTAACAGTCCATTACTCTTGATGCTAATTATGTTTGTTATAGAATCTTATTTAATTGTGCTCAAATCTGAAAATATATCCACAAGGCAAACTTGCTTTAGTTACACACATGTAGGTAGGAATATATACACACATTTTTTGTTTAAATTTAATGAATAGTATAGAGTCCTGTATACAGTGTTAATTTTTCAATTTAAAACGACTTAAATGATCAGGTGCGCTCTGACATCTTAACACACCATAATAATAGTTAGTCTCTGTTACAGACCTCACGGTGGCCAATGGTAAAGATTCAGTAAATTTCAGATACTTGTATATGTACACTATGCAGATCACATAGTGGCACAAATCATGAATTGCGCAGTTTTCTGGACATTCCATGAAATTGTACAGTGCCTTTTAAAGGCTGAGAGAGCATCAGAAGTAATAGCTGAACTATTAAATGATAAAATTTATTTATGTTGTTTGTTGGCCTGTTGAGAGACAGTTATATTTACCTGTGATTGTGACTATCCCTAACTAGACATGAAACGCTGTCCTAGAACTGTTTTTTTAATTACATAAGTTAAAATTTGCCTTTCCAAATGTTTGCGTAAGTAACCTAAGAACATTTGCTTTTTGTTTACTTTTACTTCTAAAAAATATCTGTAGATGGGATAGAAATATATCAAAGTATTTAAACAGATATAAACTTTTATTGTTACTGCTAAGCACTTATTACCTCCAACACTTCTCTCTTCATCAATACGTTGGACACTCATGGCTATTTGCAATGCAATTGGATCCATTTGCAGTTAAAATACTTCTATTAAAATAAACTAAAAATGTACAATATAAAATTCTTTAAAAAAAACACAGTGCTGCTCCAGGTGGTTTAAAACCAACTGAGTCAAAAGAAAACTGTAAGAATTGTTTTGAAGTTTCAGTGGGATATTTTTTTCCCTTAATTCAATTTTCATGAGCTTTACTACCAATATTCAAGTGAGTTCATGTCAGGTTTTTTTTTCAAGGCAAGACTCAAATCCAAATTTTTTATTTTATTTTAAGGTAAGATAAGATTCTTTTCTTTATCCAAATAATGTGTTTTGTTTACATTGTATGCATNAACTATAATCATTTGTAAACAGTGTTGTATTTTATAATGAAGCATGCACTTTATTTGGTTTTAAGGATAACAGAGAAAGGGAATCAAATATTCATCAGCGTATTGAAAAGAAATGGCTTGGCAGCATTAAAATTCCCTTCTCCACAGTCTACTTTAATAATAAGGTAAAATCAACTTTTTTTAAACTAAAAATTTTATTATTTATTATTATTTTTGAAGAATAAATGCATGAGTTGTTTTTTTTAATGAACTGTTGTGTAATGTGCAACTATTTCATGAATTATTTCAAGTTTGAGTGAGATGGTTGAAGGATAGTAATGCAGTAGATCATCAGTGTAAAGCAATTTTTTTCATACATTCTCCTATAATCTTCCATTAGATTGATGGTACCTTCAGGCTGAACACACCACCCATCTTGCTGGGCTACACATATGACCAGTCACAAGGCCAGCCCGGTATGACTGAGCTGGACAACAACCTGGCAAAGAGGAACACAATCCTGACCATGTATGTGACCCTGGAGCCATCACTTACATTACCTGACCCATTTAAGGAAAAGGTAGGCCAGCTAGAGTTTGCTTACAGAGTTACTATATATAATACAGTGACCCATATGTTAGTGTAAAGAAAAAATTCAGTTCGTAGTTAGGGGTTGAGAGAGGCAGCCACATCTTTCTGATCCAAATTTTAAAAAAATCTGATTACTGGAGTGTTGCAGTGGAAGGATGATCCAGACAATGATGACACTGGTTGCCAGGTTGTTTTCAGTACCCAGTAATGCGATAAAACAAGGCAATCCAGTACTACGAGATTCTTTAAGGGATTATTAAAGCTGTTACTATAAAATAAAATTTAAAAACTTACTGAACAGTTGTGGTTCTCTTCCTTCTGTTAGTTCACTTTGGCTATGAGGCAGAAAATGAATCAAAATTCATAATAAACTAATTTTGATGTATTCACTGTTATGAGCCATGCAGTCAACTCTCTCATAGTCTGTTTAGATTTTGAAATAAATTTTTCCTGATGATTGTGTCTAGATACTTTTATTACAGTTTTATTTTTAAAAAGAGAAGGGTAAACTGTCATAAAAAATTCAATTAGAGTAAGAAAATATTTTTTTTTAAAATATTTTAAAGTTTGTTTTTATTATTGTTAATGTTTATATGTTTTGCTCATGTTCAAATAATCAGAGAGTGGTAAGTGCTAGTGTAAGACATAGATGAATCCCACATTGATTTTCATTTATTTTTTTAAAAAATAGTGCACAGCATTATGTTAAAAAAAAAAAATGGTTTTAGGTTTTTAAAATAAAAATATTAGTGTACATTGAAACAAAATTAGCTTGCATCATTTTTTTTTTTTAGACTTTTTTTTTTGTGCTTTCTGTACTTTTTTAGTCTCTCTTGCATTATGTTAAAAAAAAAAAAATGGTTTTAGGTTTTTAAAATAAAAATATTAGTGTACATTGAAACAAAATTAGCTTGCATCATTTTTTTTTTTTTAGACTCTTTCTTTTGTGCTGTCTGTACTTTCTTAGGCTCTCTCTATTCTTACCTCACTCCTCCCCCTCTTGATCACTCTCCTTATTGTTATTCACTACAAGCTTTTTATGTTAGGTTTTTTAATTTTATTTATTTATGAAGTGTGCTCATTAGTTTTATTTTTGTGTGGTTCCAAATGCGTTGAACGCACAGAATTATTGTTCTAGGCTCTTTGGGTACAATCACATCCCTTACTTTATTGCTGTTTATTTAGTAAAAAAAATTAAAACACTTATAGAACTATTGAAATTTTCATCAAGAAATGACTAAATAAAATAGTCTACATTACTTTTATTCATTTAAATGTAATTAGTTTAGTATTAGTTGCTCCTAATTCTATTCATAAGCATGATTTGGAATGTTTTAAAGTTTGTGTAGACAATAAAATTTGACTAATATTAACGATTTTTCAGTTGTCTACAAATGAAGAGGAGGAACTGATTCAATATGCAGACAGATGGCAGGAGAACCTAGAACGAAGATTCCCCAGTCGTATTTTCAAAACAACGGGGATTTACACAACTGAGAGAGATGTTTTTGTGACTCGGTTTTTCGCATCAATGAACCTACCGCCAGAAGTATAGAGGCTTGTACTGGTCCAGAACGGGCAATGGTAACACTCAATTTAATTACCTGATACTGCCCTGTGTTGCGCAAAATATAGTCTATGGTTTTCAAAGTTTGATACATTTTTTACAAAGTAAATCACAGTCAAACAGACACAGGACTAAAATAGTAAAATCCAAAAAATGATGGTAAAAACTTGGAAAAAATTACCTACCAACACAATAAGTTTAAATTTTAATGTTATATTTAAATCTGAACGGTGACCCCCATTTATACCGCTGATTACCATTATCTATGTTAAAAGTTTTCTATAAACACTTTCCAATTTAGGAATTGGCAGCACGCTATGTTTCTCTGATTCCATTTGTGGCTGATACGGCCTTATTCCCCGGTCAGTGTGATATTTGGAGCACGTGCAATGCGAGTTATGCAGTAAATGTTTCACTTTAAATATATTAGTAGAATGCAAATGTCTCCGATTATTTTACTTCAGATTCAGGCAATAAAAATATTTTTAAACTGCGTTTATAAAGACTGTTTGAAGATTCCACAAATTAATGATGGTATTCTTTCTAATGTGTATCATGTCAAGTGTCTTTCATTGTGAAAAATGAACACAAAAATATTTATCAAAAGTAAATGCTGACAAATAAGCATTGGTGTATTAATTTTTAGAAGGTTTAATTTTTTTAACCTATCCAGCAATTTATGAAGATGTTATGTGGTGGTGAAGAAGAACATGCTGTGCTGCTCGCCAACTACTTCTTAGGGTTTGGAAAACGTGCCTGGCTTATGCTAGGTATGCAAAGTGTACCAAAAAATGTTTGTAATAAGCATTTAAAAATTTTGCAACGGCCTCTTAATATGGTTTTTAATGAGTGCCTATATAATTTGTAAAGTGTGTTTTTCAGTACACTATATATTGTTAGGCAACTATATTTGAGGTTGTTCATTGCTCTTATGCATTTATTTTTTCTTGCAGTTGATAGTTGGTTTTATTTATAGTTCAACTAATTTGATTCCATTTTATATTCCAAGTTAGAGATAATATAATTTTGTTTCCCAGGAAATGCAATTCCAGAAGGCTGGACCGCCTTTGTCTTAACAGAGGACGATGGAAAATTCTTTGTTTGGAATGCAAGATCAGGAGAAAAGTTCAGTGTTTATGACAATTATTGCCCAATCCATGTGGTGAGGTGTGTCATCTATGCTGAAAATGTAAGTAAAGATTTAACTATCTTTGTGAAGGTAACATGATTTTGAAATAATCATTATTATTATTAGGAAATTAGCTTTAAAAAGAAAAAAGGGGATCAAATGACTTGTTTACTGTTACAAAAATGATTAAATTATTTGGATTTTTTAAAATTTATAATAAAATGACAGTATTTATATTGAAATATGGTTAGCATTCTACTCAATGAACTTAATTGTTAAAAATCTAGGTTTTTTTTTTAGTTTGATGAAAGAGGGTTTCTTTATAAAATATAGTTTGATTAAATGAATCCGTTTTTATCTTACTTGACACAATCTTTAGATCTGGGAAAACATTCAGCAATATGAAAAACCATCACAATTGAATTTTAACCTAAACAACACCAGGAACTTGCAACCTTTCTACAGCAAGTCTTTCTTAAGTAGGGGATTAGCATCAGTCCAGGTAAATTATTCTGCATTATTCTGTACCTCCTATGGCCTATCCATATCAAACTGTGTTAAAGCTATAATCCGTTTAAGGAAGTTTATTTACTATATTAAATTTTATGTCAGCCAAAATGTAACAAAGCAAGAGAAAAAGCGGAAACCTTGGAGGAGCTCCAATGTCAAACATTAACAAAATAGATTTTCACCACAGTTGACATTACATAAGTTGTCTATAGAACCTCCCTCATCACCCTTAAACCCACAAATATCTTTAATTTGACTTTGTCATGTGGTCCAGTGCCTTCCCAAACTTTTGTTGTGTGACCCACAGGCAGGACTTTATCCACACTTCAGCAGGGACTGTGCCCAATCTATTATGATCCCTTTTATCTTCTTTAAATTTTCTATTTTTGCAATCTAATGACAGAGAGTTGGTGGATGGTGCCAGTCCACCAGTTTGAGAAACCCCAAATTAAACTAAAAGAGTAAACTGGAGAAGTTGCTAAGAGCGGTGCTCTCAGAGCTCCGCTAGTTTTTCTATACAAGTTTGCATCCTCTCCTTTTTTTGTTTGTTATAAAAACACTGTCTTTAATACTTTTTTTTTTTTTTTTTCACTTCTTTAAAACAGATTTTTGAGCAAATTCAATTTTAATTTGCTTTCTTCTGTTCCTCTCTTAGCCAAATGAATTAAACTATCACAGAAAAGATAAAAAGTTTGACAACTTGGTGACTGAGCTTCAGGAGAAAATTGAGCAACTTCTAAAGAACAAGATCATGGAGTGGAGAAGCCGTTACATCCCTAGGTGGAACAGACATTGCATGCAGATCATGAGGAAACTTTTGCCAAAGTAAACATTGTCAGCAGAGTGAATGATAGGAAACTTTGGTTTTAGCAGATCAAATGTACTAGTCTCACCTTATTGTGGTGGTGCATCTTGCACATGAAATATCAAAGTTTTACTCCCCCTCCCTAAATTAATTCTTGCTATTGTTTAACTTGAAAATATTAAAATTCTTTTCTTCGGCTTAAATGATTTTTCTTTAGAAATTGCAAAATTTATCCTTACAATTAAATCGTAACATTCAAGAATTATCTCACCTTCTTTTAACAAAAAAAATATATAAATAACAAGGGGTAAAATTTTAAATGCTTGTTAATTTATAATTTTTTTTTTAAAGTGGAAGGGCTCTGTTAAATAGTGATTGACAACATTGTCACATATGAAATGAATATAAATTAAAATGATAAGTTTTGATATTAAATTATCAAAATAATTCAACAGCATTTTTTAGCAATTATAAGAACTGGCCAGTAGTTACATGTATCATATTTCATGTCACTTTCCCTCAACAGGCTAGAAGAAAATTGTGGAAAGCCAATTGATGAATCCAATTTAAGAGATCTTGAAGACTCATTCAAATCATACAAGGTAAACAATACTTTCAAATGCTCTTTACAAAAATTTGTAAAACCAGAGCTTATTTCTCAATTGTTTCAAATTTTTATGTCCACAATTTTTAAGATTGTCTTGGTAATCCTAAACCAAACTTTATTTTTAAAGAAACAATTTTGAAGTATTCAAGGTATAAATATAATCTTCATCCTGCATGTTTAAACAAAAAATATATTAATAAGACACGAACAAATTGTGTCAATAGAACAATATGAGTTAGCTTTAATAATAATTGTACAATATACAGAATTAAACGTTTCGGCACATGCCTTCATCAGTACAAACAAACACAACACATTTAAATAAGTATAAATTAAATTTACATAATGTCAATATATATATCCTACCTAAAACAGAAAAAATATAGGAGAGGGCGCTTAAACGTGACAAAAACAAAGTAAAGAGATGTAGAAAGGAAGTGATTCAAACATAATTGGAAAAACCAAACAGGAAAAAGACATGGCAGCTAAGTAAAA